TTCGCTTACTATAGATTTATTCTAACGATATCCAAAATATTCGTATATCTATCACCACAGAGTAGAGTTGTTCAGTTTTTTGGAAATTATATACAAATTATAAAATAAAAAAGAAAATTTGATTTTGGAACAATTTTACCTGATTTTCTCTTGTCTCTACATTCCCTTTTACGCTTTTAACCGGAAAAAAGTTTAACTTGCTGCGTTGTATAGCTCGTGCATGAAAAGCGCCATTTAAGACAATCGCGCGGCTATTTAAATTTTCTCCTCCTTGTTTATATGCGCTTTTGGTTTCTGCATTCTTCTTGGTTACCTTATTACCCAATTTTCTTCTTTTTTTTATTAAACTATGGTAATGCTGAATCAACAACAACAATGACAACATCATCACCGTCATCATCTGCAGCATTAACATTAACATCAACATAAACGAGAAAAAAAAGAACCACAAGGTAGTAGTGGTCGAGTGTATTAACTTTTCGGTTTTTTCTCGTTGCAGTTGTCATTTTTGCTTCTTTTTGGGTTACGCTCGAGATAAAAAACTCATTTTGATGACATTTCATTGATTAAAAATGTCCCTGCTATGGTTATTGTTGTTGTTGATGGCTTGGCATTACAACGCATCATAACTGAACTAAGGAGCAAGCGGATGAAGAGTTAGTTCTCATCATTTACTAGCACTATGGCAACGTGAAAGTTGTTATCATGCATATTTATATTAACTTTGATGAGCTTTTTTTATTATTATACACATATAATTTTAATGGCAACCTGCAGTTTTGTTGCTCACATATTATGAAGTGATGGTAAATGTGATAGAACCGCAAAACCAAGAGCACTTAAGTATGTCAAAAAGAAAATGGTTAGGTTTCTAAAACGGCAATGTTATGACAAAATGTTAACCAAGAAGGGAAAACTGAGATAAGATGAGAGGAGATGCGTATATTAAGTTCCTGCAATTCATTCTAGATCGTTTCTTTTCTATATTTTGTGTTCTCATTTCATCATATTATTGCGTAATACATTATATTAATACCCAAAACGCAAAAATCTTTTTGGCTCCTTCCTGTTTGTAGCAGTTCACCTACGTTTGCCCTTCCTGTCCAATTTCGGATATCACGCACGATATCACGAGATTTCTTTTTTGCCCACCCCCTTCGATGCACTCTTCCACAGCTAAGTGTAGGAGTTCAGCTTTTCCCCAAGCACCATGTGTTCAAAAAATCCATTTTTTCGTTTTTTAATACACTTGAATAGCTCACCCTCAGAGTATACCGTTCTCAAAATTTCAACATTGTATGTGCGATCTGCCCACGATATTTTCGGAATTCTATGGAAACATGATATCTCAACCCCTTTCAGTCGGTTCATTGTATTGATTTTTATTGTCCATGATTTTATATCACACAAGAGCACCGACCATACAAAGCATTTCAAGAAACGAAGGTAAAGGAATAAGCTCATTTTCCGGCTTGCTAGAACTTCCTCATATTTCCTATACGACTATCCAGCCATTCCTCTCCTTCTTTTTATTTCTACGTCGCTGTCCAAATCTTAGTGTCATATGAATCGAAGATATTACAATCGTGGAAACTCTTTTTACCTTTTGGCTATTAATTAATAGAATTACATTTGCATTTTCAGTTTTAGCTCGACTTACAATCATAAATTTGGTTTTGCTGATATTTAAGTTTAACCCTTGATCATTTGCGGCTAGAAGTATCGTCTGCAGATCAGGCGTATTATCTGTTAGGATAGCGAATATTGTTGATGAATTGCTCGTTGACCCTAATGCCTGCTTTGATCCTTCGAAAAGAGCAGGAAACAGTATTCACCCTTGACGAACCCCTTTGTCTCTAGGAATAGGATTTGTTCTGACTTTATTGCCAGGGACTTTTGGTGTTTGTTTCCAATACAAATTTTTGATGGAGTGTATATTTTTTTGCTTCTATACTAAGACCTTTCAGGATGTCTATAAACTTATCGTGCCGTATTTTGTCAAACGCTCTTTTATAATCTGTGAAGCAAAGAAAAATGTCTTTATGTAACATCTTTCCGTTGCAGACAAGAACCTGAGTGCAGCTCCGGTGCCCAAGCTTTTCCGGAAATCAAACTGAGTACGGGTAAACACTGATTTTGTCCTCTGCATTGGTTTACGCAGCGAAGACTTCATTGATATGTATCTAGGTTGGTTCATTTACAGTCCGCTTTGTTTCTTAGACATACTCATTTAGGTTAAAACAATCATTAGTTGCATGTTATTTGGAGACCGTAATGACCGCATATTTAGAATTTGAGGTTTTACATCAGTCTTGTAAATTTTAGACGTTTGAATTTCGCGTTTTTCAATTTTTATAATGTGCTTTATATACACAATCCATTATCTATTACATCTTCACTATTGTGTCATGGTGGCCATTGTACTTTTTATCCGTCGAGTTGCTACATCCCTCCACAATGTAAGTAATTTGACGTAAAATTTATGATTTTTTCCCAAACTGTGTATATGACCTCATCATCATCGGCTTTAGTATTTTTTCGCCTTAGCTATTTTTGAACATTTTTATGAGTTTTAGAAAAATACAATTTTATTACATTTTATTAGAAATCGCTTATTTTTAATAATAATTTTCTTTATACTTATAGTTTTTCCTTTGTTATGTTTGTTTTTGCGAACGTAAAAACCGCACAAAAGCAATTTACTCCATATGTTCTTAGCAAAGAACAATGGTATGTAACTTGGAAATAATTTTCTATGATTTTTTTTTTTTTTTTGATACCACATTATCAAAACTCATCTGGAGAAATAACCGAATAGTGGTATTAAAAAAAAAAGAAAGGAGCGGGAATATCGTTTGCAGATACTGTTACTAATGTTGGCAGCATGAAAATTGCACACAAAACTCTCACATAAAAGTATTTTAAGAAATTTTTGATTTTTTTTTTCACTTTTTTTTCTTTTTCACTTTATGCTATAAGAGAGAATGTATTATGAAAAGATATACGTATAAGAGAAAAGAAGAAAAAACATTCATTTTTGATAATTTTTCATCATTTGTTAAGTTGCTGCTAACGTGGTCGTTGTTCTTGGTGTTTCTTTTTGGAAAGTTGGTGTTGCTATTGGCAAACATTAGCCACATCTGATGCCAAAAAATGTAATTAGATTTCAACGGCATACACATAGATACATAATGTAAATGACAGTTATAAGCTTGTTTTTGTTACTGTCGCTTCTGTTGACTATCTGGTGCTACACTTTGTTTTTACTATAGCAACGTGTTAAATCTTATTCTTAGCCTTTGTACAGATATTGCTTAATATCAACTTAGTTGACCATAAATGCCTTAACATGGCAACAGCTAACGATATTAACAATAAGAAAGACAAGAAAGGAGACAAAGAAGAACAAACAGATAGTTTTTATAATAAGAATGATTTACAATAGAGAAATTGCTGTAATTATGTTGTATCAGCGCAAAAAAAATTACAATTTATCTTTTATATATATTTTATATGTAGTTATCAGAAGTGGACATTGAACTGAACTTGCCTTTCGGATTTTAATGTCCAGGAGATTCCAGCTCCTCTTTGAGCTCTGACAATATGTGCATGTATATATTCAAGTTGATTGCAGCATAACTGCAGATATCACTATAATAGTGGGTTCAAAGCTTACTTGCGAAAAGTGGGTAACTTTAAACTATTGCCTCTACCATTAGAACACGTGGGTTTGATTTGTTCACTACTAACGCCAATAATATAAGAACCTGATATATTGGCAATTTTTTCTTATTTTCGTCTACAGCTTTCAGTCGTTCATTGTGCACGTGTCAGTAAACGAATTGGGACTATTTTTGGACTGAAAATGAAGTCAATCTCGAAATATCTTTGCAGGCTCGAAAGTTATAGATGACAATACAAAGAAATGTTAGTGTTTTTCTGCTGTTTTTTCAGCTTTTCCTGTATTGTGAACGTGCGTATAAGCCGATCGTACCAATTTTTTAAGTTCATATTCCTCATTATTCAACAAATGTTAGTGCAATATTTCAGTTTCGTACTCTCATTTTTCTGATTGTTATTCCGTAACAATTTTTGGTAAAAATTACCCATATGAGTGGAAATAATTATATACAATCGGTAGCTCGAAGCCTAGATCAGATAGAGAAAAAGTGAATGTATGTTTAAAGGCCTTTTCTCATAAATAAAAATGATCATTTGCGTGCTTCATAACCAATCGTTTTATGCTATAAACTCCCAAAAACCATATTAACCTACGCAATAGTTGTAGTGCGTAAATGCGATGTTTAAAATTTTTGTTTTTGTCTATATAACTTCTTGTAGCTGCAGTTGAAAAGCATCATGAATCATTAGCTAGAATTCTGGCGGACTTTGCCTATCAGATTCTCTCTCACAAATGCTTATTTTAAAAAAAAATAAATAAATGAAAAATGGAATAAAATTTCATATTCTGCGTTACAAGTGTAATCGTAGGCAAGTACGTAAAAAGTAAATATAAAAAGTTATTTATTACGTTAATTAAAAAGTAATATTAACATTAATAAATAAATATTAATAAATAAATTACGGGCTTTCATTTCCTAAAATAGCTTGATATGAAAAGAGCAACATGAAATTAATCTGAAAATGCAACGCATATATTTTAGCATGAAATTACATATATAGCGTGTGTTTAATTTTATCATGGTCGCACTAATATTTTAAGCTTTAGTGTAGATTTAATAAAAGAAGATTTTACAAAAACTTAACATAATAAGTTTCTGTTCTGTCTGTCAACATTCATAGGAAATTATTTTAACTCATAAAATGTTAACGACCGATATGAAGAATGATTTGAAAACAGAAACCTGTTTTTAAGTTAAAATTTGCTTGTAATAGAATAGAGTGAGAAGTATTGTTAAAAGAATTCATGAGTGTTTTTTATGTAATCATATTAACTCATAGAAATTGCTTAAAGAGAATTTGATTTTGCTTTAGTTCATTTCATAGCTTTGAGTGTATTACACATGTACAAGTAACGTTGAGAATATATTCAATTATATGGCAATATAAACGCAGTAAAAATTAAAAAAAAAAACACTTTTCATCATCGACATTACACGAATAATGTCTTTTGTAATTAACAAGAACTTCCAAAAATTATTGACAAGTCTATCAGCGTCGTTATGGCTGTGGTTGCTAATACTGGTGCTTTTCCCGGCGGCTTTAAAAAGCTATAAATTTTTAGGTGTTTTACATTTCGCCTCTAAATCTCATTATATAGTAGGCTCGTCGTTAATGAAAGCTCTAGCTGGTAAAGGTCATGAAGTAACAGTTGTAACATCGTTCACTGAGCAAAAACCAATAAAAAATTATAGCGAAATTCATTTAAAGAACGTTTTGAAAATAATGGATGGTATATTATACGTAATTAAAACTTAATTTTATCTACTACTAATTAATTTTTTTTTAATTACATATAGAAAAAACCGACGAGTTGCTTGAAACAAATAGAAAGTCCTTATTAACCAATATTGTTAGTTTTCACCAAATGGGCTTAAAGCTGACTGATATAGTGCTTAACGATCCGAATGTTCAATTATTGATGACTTCTAATCAAACATTCGATGCAGTAATATGCGAAGTATTCTTGGGTGAAGCTCTATACGGCTTAAGCGAACATTTTAAAGCGCCATTAATTGGTTTGGGAACATTCGGCGCCATATCCTGGAATACCGATATGGTAAGTTGTCTGGAAAGCTCTTTGAAATTAGTTACTTGTTGTCTCCTTTTTACGATCTGCAACAATCAAATGTTGCAACATTTCTGATTGTAAGTTGCAAGCACACAATGTACACGAATATATTCAAATATATAACTATACATTGAATGACAAGTGATTGATTTCTGTAAATGTCGACCTATTCGTAATCTTGCCCACGAATAAGACGCCGTGTAACTACATAAGTGGAAATTAATGTCTTATTCGCCTTAACGAATTCAGAAGGTTGTTTACAGACTTGACATGTTAAAGACGTAGTTGACGTTTACTTTAAAGAATGCTAAGCACAACGATCTAAGATGATTGATGTAGTTATGTATAAACGTTTACGGAAATTTCTACGGAATTAAGAGCAAATTCAAGTAATGAGATACTTAGCCGCTTATATCTGATGAAACCAAAACAAAGAAACTAAGCGCTATACAACAACTTGCGAAGTCACTGAGAGTTTAAATTTGTCGAATTTGGCCGTTCATGATCAAATGACCTTCCGAATAACCTAATATGAAGCCATCAGACGGACAAAAGAACAGGCCAAAAAGATTTGTGAATTGAATTTGAATCAAATCGCATAATAAAAAAAGTTAATCCTACCCTAAGCGATTCTGCTTGTTGAATACGTGCGCATAAACTTAATATATGCTTACTGCAAGTGCTGTAGGACATTGTACACAACGTGCAATTACACGTTGTGCTTCTTATGCAAAGTAAGCAATTTCCCATAAATCTAAAACTTGTATAAAAAAATTTTGCATGTGATTAATAGGTTGGGTTTACGATTAAGTTGAGCAAGCTCCAAGAATTAAAATATATTTTTTTTCTTTCAGTAATTATCGGTATCTTATGTTGCTTTACTTCGTAGGTTGGATCACCGTCACCGCCATCTTACGTACCTTATCCTCTGCTGCCATTAACTGATCACATGTCTTTTTGGGAACGTTTGGGAAATTTGGCTGTTATCACTTTCGAACGTTTATTTTTGGATTTGTATTATCTGCCTCGTCAAAGTGAATTGTATAGAAAGTATTTTCCGCACTTGGAGAAGTCAATGCTGGATATACGCCGTAATGCAGCTTTAGTGTTACTAAACACACATTATTCGTTAACATTTACTCGTCCATACGTACCAAACCAAATCGAAGTGGGCGGAATGCACATCAAACCTTCGAGTCCACCTTATCCAAAAGATTTGGTAGACTTTATTGGCAATGCCTCAGAAGGCGTCATCTATTTCTCTATGGGTTCGAATATCAAAAGTAAAAAAATCCCGTTGGCTAAAAGGGAAGAAATTTTGAGTGCTTTCCGTCAACTTAAACAAAAGGTGCTGTGGAAATTTGAAGATCCCTATATACCTAATAAGCCGGACAATGTTCTCATACGTGACTGGTTTCCTCAAGATTTTATATTAGCTCAACCACAAGTCAAAGCTTTCGTAACACATGGCGGCCTTTTAAGTATTCAAGAGACTGTCTCCCATGGCAAACCAATTGTGGCTTTACCCATATTTGGGGATCAATTTCTGAATGCAGCTATTTCTGAACGTGAGGGTTTCGGCATTGTGTTAGACTATAAAAACTTGACTGCGATTCAATTAAAAACAGCCATTGAACGTGTGGTCAATGATAAGCAATATAAGGAAAAAGCTGGCATTATGTCTGTTCGTTTCAAAGACAGACCTGAGCATCCGATGGAAAAAGCTTTATTTTGGGTGGAGTTCGTAGCGAAACACAAGGGAGCGCGATTTTTACACTGTGCTGGAATGAATTTGAATTTTATTGAATATCATAATTTAGATGCCATATTTGTACTGTATATTGTTTCCCCGCTTTTTGTTTTTCTTCAACTTTGGATTATTTATAAATTAATTGTGTTTGGCCTTAATTATTGTTTGACAGGTAAAATATCAAAAAAACTAAAAAAAGATAAATTTAAGAAACGTTGAAGTCATTAAGTAATTGTTTGTTAGCAAGAATTTGTAGATTTTGTTATACAGAGAATAAAGGGACTAAAAAGCAAAATAGAAATTACTTTACTCGAGCTCATGTTCTCTTGGTATATGTAAATTAATTTTGTGAGACAATAATAAACAATTCTACTTCAACATGCCTTCTCTACATTTACGTTTTTCTCGGCTTACTGCTTTACCTATGTACCTAAATAAGCTGCTTGCATAGCTTAGTGGCTCATTCTAATCCCTAAATACCGTTCTGTTTATACGCTTATTCTCACATTTTTCGCTTATTCTCGAGATGATGTTGAGACAGTAGATATTCAACAGAAGATTTCAGAGAGAAAGTACGGGCAAGAATTCAAGCAGCCTCAGCGTCCACAGGTCAATACGAACATTATGGATGTAAACTACGAGCAATTCACGTCAGCGGACAAATATTTCCAGGAAGTATTAAACCGCTCGGATCTATTCATTTAGATGTGAAAATCTTCAGCTTCCACAGCTAAAAAGCAAACATACGAAACGTAGGAAAGATAATTACCTAGCGAACGCCCTATCTCGCATAACAATCAAAGAACTCAAGAACATAAACAACAGTATATATAAAGTAGTAATAAGATCTGCAACGTGGCAGAAAAATAATTGCGCAGAACAGCGACAATTAAGCAAATGTACGGAGCCCAAAGTCTATGAAGTCATTAGTAATAATGACGTAAGAAAATTTGTGCAATTAAAATTTGACTCCGACAAATGTTGCATGAAACATGGGAGGAAAATAATTGCCAAATTCGTAATAAACGACATTTATACCAATGGAAAACTCGACTTAGGCCAGTTTTTCCAAAGGCTTGAAACAGAAGCCGGCATAATAAAAATGTCAAAATTCAAAGTGTCACCAAGCGAGAGGATTTTCGAATCCGTATCGTAAAACCAATTTAAAATAATGGCCAATAAGACATTGCAAAATATAAGAGTAGCGCTACTCCAAGAGGTGACAATTATAGACAAAAATAATAAGCCCGAAATCAAAAACATTCTACAAAAATACCACAATGACCCAATAGAAGGGGGTCACACTGGAATTACACGTACCTTGTCGAAAGTACGAAGGTACTATTACTGGCCGCAAATGACAAAAACAATAGCCAAGTATGTCAATGTTCGCTATGCCAAAAGGCCAAAATCAAAACCCATATCAAAACTGCTGTGACTTTAACCCCAACACCAGCAACTGCTTTTGACACAGTTGTAGTCAACACCGTCGGCCCATTACCAAGGACAGAAAAAGGCAACGAATACGCGATAACACTAATCTGCAACCTTACCAAATATTTGGTAGCAATTCCCGTCACAGATAAAAGTGCTAAAACCATAGCAAAGTCAATCTTTGAGAACTTCATACTAAACTACGGACCCATGGAAAAACTCGTAACGGATCAAGGAACCGAATACAAAAATGCACTAATGAACGCTCTATGTAAGTACCTTAAAATTGACAATGTAACATCAACAGCCCACCATCATCAGACACTCGGGACGGTGGAACGCAACCACCGAACGTTAAATGAATACATAAAATATTTCCAATATTGTTTCAACACAACACCTTCCACAATACACAATTACTGTCCTTATGAACTAGTATTTGCAAGGCCACCAACACAATTAACAGATCATAACAAAAATGTTGAACCTGCTTTAAATAATGTCTTCAACATTTGGGTTACGACGCAGTCGCAAAAATGAAGTTATAAAACTGAAATTGGCACAAAGGTTTCCTTAAAAATGGGCATGAGCCGCTCACACACTTGCCCACAATAGAAGAACGATTAAAACAATTTCAATTTTTTTAAAATTTCTTGTGTCACTTTCCATCCCATGAACGCATTTTTGAAAAACTGGTGCTCGAGTATTCATCAAAACCACCTCCGTGGTTTTCATCGGTTAATTTGTACGTCCACAATTACCGAAAAAAGTTTTAATTCCAACTTATTGTTGGTGCAGTCTTTGCAACAATTTAAGTAATTATCTTTGTGTAATAAATTGCAAATCAACTTGTTTTTGTAACGATAATATTTAATATTAAACCGCAAAAAACGAATCATGAAAACAGTCTTCACGTTTTACAGTCAGGTAACATTCTTTAATTTATTTTAGTAATTCCCAAATTAGATTCAACTTAGCAGCATTCGTGTTTCAGGCTGTCTTTAAATCCACACATTATTTCAACTTTATTTTCAGTCAATTTTTCAAAAAAAAGCTTTTTTTTTTCTTTAACAGAGTTTCCTTGAATACGTGTACAAAAATTCGCAAATGTCTTTTACTTGAAATTTTGTGCTTTTCGCCTACTATGAGCAACAGGTGTTTTACCCGGTGTATCTATTGTTTGAGCTGGCGATTTCCAATCTTTCTAACTTATCGGTATATATCTTTGAAAACTATTTGTGCTCATTTAAAAGCAGTTCCAAACAAAAATATGTTTTTGTAGCATCGTCAAGACAGCTCTTTTTTATTTAGTCTAGTTTGATATCTCTAGAAAGACATTTTCCAATATTAAGTTCGAAATAGATATTCTTTTCCAGTATTAAATTCGAAATAAGTATTCTTTTCTAGTATGAAGTTTGGAGGAGATATGAGGTTGAGAGCGAATAGAAAGCTTCCAAATTTCTGCTAAGAAATTAAAAGTTTTTGATAGGTTTTTGATAGACAATCTATTATAATAAGAAATACATTGCACAACTTCAGAAGCCTTTCTCTCGAAACATGATTTTTTAAAACGACCTACGGAAGTATTTCTGCAATTTTTATTCCTTCCCTACGAGTTTTTTGCCAAATTCGAACGTGTCTCACTAGAATGGCTTCGGTGTTTTATAATATAGTTTTTAGTATCTAAATATAGGTGTAATAACCTCTTTTAGTATTATTATGCTATTAATTTTTCTTTACCCTGAAAAAACTGCTAGAAGGCTGTTTTTTAGGCCATCTTATAATGGTCTCAAAGAAAAAGATAACACACATAAGGATATTTGCTGTCCCATGAAGGTAAAGTACATCACCGGTGGCTATAGAAGATGACGAGCCGACACACAGCCCAACAGAGGAGAAAGGAATAAAAGTAATTATAATTTACAGCATAAAATGATCAACGAAAGCGAGTGAAAAATCACTTGATTAAAGTTCTTCAAAAGCTTAAGTAAAGATTGTCTGCAATGGACTCACGTTTCATTTGTTAAATTTTGGCTTACACGTTGATCAAAGATTAGCAATGAAAAGCCTTTAAAATGTAAATGCCAATAAAGTCACTTGAAAAGAAGAACTTATTTGGTCTAATTTTAGAAGACTTTATTGGTCTACAATCTTGGGAATGTCTCTTGTAGATGAATTCAATCAGAAGATTAAAAAAGCATTATATTCCGGGTCTTTCACTTATAAATTAGTTTATTTTTGTTTCCTAAATTACTTTAATGAATTTTCCAAGTTTATATAGCTTCTTTTAAATTATTTGTTATTGTGACATTTTATTGAATTTTTTTAAGAGTGTTCTGTTTCGTGTTCGACATAATCTTCTTAACCTTCGCTTTAATAATTTTTACAATTAAACAACAGCAGACAATGAAAACGACAAAGGCACCTGTTATCATGAGTGCCAAACTGTCTAAACTATGTTTTTTCATAAAACTCATTTTTTGCGCTTTAGTTTGCATATGATAAGCTCCGCGATGTCTGAGAATATATTCAGTCCAATAAATGGCTAAGTCGATAGGCTTTATAGGTTGATTATGGTATACTTGCGAGATTTCTTTCACATTTTGGTCAGATTTGTCATTAGTCATCATATCTAGTATGGTTTCCCGGAAAGATGCTTTAGTTAGATTGTTGATATCCAATGCTAAAGCAAAATTCATTTTTTGGGCCCTGTTAACGTTTGTTTCTTGATCGTAGAATAGCTTTACACGAGGTGACGTTAATATATCAACTTGCGAAAACCAAGCGCTAATAAAAATATTATTTGGTTTGTTAGTTAAATCAGGATCTTCAAATTTCCATAGTATTTTATACGATAGAGACCCAAAAACTTCATTGATCAAACTTAAGATGGAGGGTGATAAGTGTTTACATTTCATATTGGACCCTTAAGAAAAGTAAATAACTTTAGTATGTGGGATGAATTTAAAAATTTATTTATACTTGAAGGTAAAATTGGATTTTTAGTTTCTACATGAAAATCGTCCATCTCTACCATATGAGAAACGTATGGGCGGGCAAAGCTCAAAGAGAAATGTTGATTTAGCAATATTAAAGAAAAATTCGAACGTATTTTCCTTTCCATAGGTCAGAGGTTATGTAAGGTAAATATTTTGTTACCAATTGCTGTTGCTTGGGTACGTGCGCCCAGTAATTATGTACGTGACCTATTATAGACCAATGCATATTCTGCAAGCGTTGCGAAAAGCTCATATATTCAGTAAAGCCCAGCCTGTGTAACTGGGCGTAGGCCAAAGGTGATGCCTTTCCCATTAAATCGTCGATTATAAAATCAGTACCAAATGGTGAAACGCCTATTAAAGGCACTTCAAAATGCTTAGCCAAAGCGTAAACAGCGTCCAAATTTAAAGCGTCTACTATAACCAAACCGAAACTTTCTTTTTTTATGATATCCTGTACCGCATAGCTCTTTAATACCCTTTGACTAATATTATGAGAAAAATCTCTCTCTCTCTCTCTTTAATACGATTTGACTGATATTATAGTAAAAATCAGCGAAGTAAGTCATTTCTTCCCAAACATTTCGAAATCTTGCGTTCAATGATTTTATGTGTTCTGAAATACGTCCACTGTTAATTAAAAACCAATTTTTAAAAATACCGTTTACCAACGTAATCCGTGTCCACGTCCCCTACTAAAATGCCTCGATAATTCCTTATTTGTTGTGTTTGGGGGTGGGCGTTGATTACCGCCATCTCATGACTTTTAAACTCTAATACGGTTGCACTAATATATACTGCGATGG